TGCACCTGCTGCTGCTGCTGGGGGAGAAACAGAAACAGCAAAGCAAGATAGCACCGCAGCAGAAGGCTCCAGTTCTCTAGGGAGGCATTCGCCTTGCCGGATGCCTCCTGGAGCTGCAGCAGCAGGTGCAGCTGCAGCAGCAGGTACAGCAGCAGCAGCAGCTGCTGCTGCTGCACCTGCACCTGCCTCCGATGTTGCGCAGCAGGTGCGGCAGATGATGCGTAAGCTGCATTCGCTGGCTATTCGAGCTGAAAGGGGGAAACCAAGCTGTACTCGTATGCGTAGGGGGCCCCCTAATCAACGTTGTAGGGGGGCCCCCTCTCAACGGCGCAAGGGGCCCCCCTCTGAGCTACCTGGGGGCCCCCCCTCCTCTGAACTGCATGAGGGGCCCCCCTCTGATCTGCCTGGGGGGCCCCCGACTGATCTCCCTGGGGGGCCCCCGTCTGACGATGTGCTTAAGGGTTCTACCTATAAGCTGCCTGGGGGGCCCCCCTCTAAACTGCTTGGGGGGCCCCCCTCTAAACTGCTTGGGGGGCCCCCCTGTGAAGGGGCCCCCACCCGGAAGAGCAGTGGGGGCCCCTCGTCTGAGCGTCAAAGCAAGAGGGCGCGTGTAGCTATTTAATTGGGCCTCTATTAATATCTGAGTATTATTATCCTTTGTCTCTTCTTCTTATTTCTATCAACACTCAATATTATAAACAAAATAAAGACAAACAAAGGCGCGCCTTCAGGCTGCGCATGCAGCAAAAGGGTCTAGCAAGAACGCTAGTGGGGCCCCCCTCTTTGTCTCTAGAGGGGCCCCCCTTCTGTCTCTGAAGGCCCCTTTAAATCGGTTCTATGGGGGCTCCACTATATCCCTGCAGGGGCCCCCAGCTGTCCCTCAAGAGGTCTTCCTAAGCCCCTATTCATCCCTCTATATACGTGTTCATGTACCCTTCGAGGGGCCCCCAAAAGGGCCCCATGAGGGGCCCCTAGAAGGACCCTTAGAAGGGCTCCTAGAAGGGCCCCTAGCCCTAGAGGAACCCCTTGAAGGGCCCCTAAGGGGGCCCCTAGATGGGCACCTAGGGGGGCGCCTAGAGGGGCCCCTAAGGGGGCCCCTAGATACGTAGCAACAGCCAAGCATCGTTCCCTATCGAGGCCCCTATAGAAGCGCAAAGCAAACTGCAGGGGCCTCTTCCTACGATTGCTGCGCTCTGTGTACCCAGGGGGCTGTAAGAGGACCCTTGAGGGGCCCCTCTGGGGCCCCCTTAAGTGGAACGGGTTCGGTAATGGGGGCCCCTCAAAGGGGGGCCCCCCCAGAAGCCCCTTGGGGGGCCCCCAGAAGCCCCTTGGGGGGCCCCCGGAAGACCCTTGGGGGGCCCCCCAAGGGGCCCGTGTTGAATAGAGGTGGAGGTGGGAGTGTAATATTGTCTTGACTCAGTTGACGTCCACTTCCATTTCGCTTGCTGCAGCAGCAGCAGCTGCCTAAACAGCAAAGAGCAGCAAGCGCAAGTAGGGGGGGCCTCTC